GGTTTTCTTAAAAAAAAAAAAAAAAAAAAAAAAAAAAAAACAGGTGTCCGAACCGTTCTAATTTTGAAAAGGGAAATAAAGGCTATGCAAAAAGATGCATCGCACAAGGAATCAGTGACATGCAAAGCCCAGAGCGTCTCATGGGTATAACTGACTGTTCTTGATCATCCAAAAAGTATGAAGAATCTTTTTGACTGGTAAAAACTAAGAAACGCAGCCTGAGGTGTAACACACAAGGGAGGGAAATACAGAAAAAAAATGGGTGACCGAACCGCTTCGCCCCACAATCATTAATATGGTTGCCGATAATTTTTTTTTTTTTTTTTTTAATATAAATAGCTTTGTCTTATTTCATGTCAGATTAACCCATAAGAGGTCCGCGAACAAGCGGACCTTAGAGGGCGAGCCGCGTAGCAGTCAGGGGGCGTACCCCTTAGTCAATAGGTAAAACAGTGGATCGACCTGGAAAACAAGTTTCTTTTTAACATGTAAAAACATGCGTACGTTGGAGGAGAAAATGATAAATGGTGTAAAAAGGAATGAAGATGCACTGAAAAACCAAGAGAAAGTAGTGATGGTGCGGAGTCTGAGGTTATTTGAGGAGGGGTTGGGCTATTTACACACTGTTAAAAATGTACCACCAGACAAGGTAATAATTTAAGCAATCTGTTACATGCTCCTTAACCAGAATTTTACGTCGAACACGATTCGCACAACGAAAATTACTCAAACCAACTCCTAACGAAGATATTAACGTTTTTATTACACATTGGTTACGAGGAATTTGAGCTGCCCGCTCACAAGAAACTCAAAGCTCTACGTGAGTCAAACGCGCACTACAACGGTTTCAGCAATCTTCTCGATCGAGCAATGTTCATTTCCTACCATGTGCTGTTCAAACTATTAACAATTTGTTATAGCTGAGGCAAAGCGTCAAGAATGAGGTTGCCAGATTTTTATATCGCAGAGACTGTCATGATAACGTTTAGCGCGCGATGTGAATGGGGGAGCGGGTGGTTTGAATTCACGCATCAGGAATCATTAAATATCTTCGAAAGGAGTTAATTTCGGCAATTTTGATCGTGCGCATCGTGTTTTACGTGAAATTTTAGTTACGAAACATGTATCAGAATGCTGAAATTCGTACCTTGTCTAGTGGTCCATTGAGGAGTGAATTTCGGTGCCGAAGTCTAAATAGCGCCCAAATACCCCGAAAGATATGAATGCGAAGTGAAAATAGCACCATAAAAGTGTATGACACTGCAATAAGAGTAAATTCTGCTCCATAAGTGTATATACCCGTATAAGTGCGAGGAGAATAGAGACTTCTCCGCATTCATATCGTTTGGAGTTTTTGGGTGGTATACAGACTCCGGCAAAGAATCTCACTCTGAAATAGACATAGATAGATATACTTTATTGATGCATACAGCCGATAGTAAAAAGCTCTGGCACAAGTCAAATTTACAATTTATACAACAATTTAAACAAAATGAACTATACGGGTTCTTCGAAAATCTTTTAGACTATAATAGGCTTTATTTTTGAGTTTTATTTTCAATTTTGACGGAACTTTCCTTACATTACTTTCAATTCGCTGGTCAAGGTGTTGAAAGAAGGTCAAGCTGTTAAGGTTTAAAAGTAAAGCAAAATGGGGGTTTAAGGCAATTCGACGGTTGCCATTTTTTGTGTCAGAGTGACGTGCGATATATCGCATCAATTCGTTCCATAATTTCAGTTATTTTTAATTTTTTTCGAATGTTGAGATCGCATTTCTCCTGTTATGAGACCAAAGAATTCATGCGCCAAATTTGACAGAGAAGTTCAACGGATTAAAGGCACAATTTTTTCAGAGGAAAAATATTGCATTCGAGTGCAGTTTCGATATTAGTATATTTTTCCTCTAAAAAGAACCCTGCCTTCATTACGTTGAAATTATTTTTCAAATTTGGTATATGAATTCTTTAGTCCCATGACAACAGAAGTGCGATCTCAAAGTTCGAAAAAAAACTAAAAGTAGCTGAAATTATGGAGCAAATTGATGCGATGTATCGCACTTGACAAAATGATGTCACTCTGACACAAAAAATGGCAACCGTCGAATCACCTTAACAGAGTTTCGATTGGAATTTCCCGACTTGTTTTTACTTCTATACCTTACCTAGAGTCCCTGTATACTGAGAATTAAGACACCCCCCCCCCCTCATGGAGTCACAAACGGGAATAAAGATTACACAAATTGAACTTTTTTCATAATCTTTGGCCGGTTCATTCTCAAATTCCTTTCTCCGTTCCTTCTCTCATTCCGTTTGCTCCTTGCCGAACCCGTAATTCCTCAGTCCGTTCCAGATTATAATCTTTGCAATTGGTGAAAATGTAATCTTTATTCCCGGTTGTGACACTGTGGAGGCCTAAAATACGGTAACCAATCAGAAATTGATTCACATTGTCTTAGCTCTCAGTATAAATGGACTCTATCATTACCCATTTCACGAATTCCAGTGCTCGAGTCTCCAGCACTCAAACAGAGGTGCATGAAAGATTGCAATAAAGCGTACGGTTATATATTGATTCCCCCGGACGGTTTTGTGTCAGATGATCTTTTGAAGCCAGAAGATCAGTTGGCTGAACTTTTTACTTGCGGAAGTCTTGTACCCATCACCGATGGAATGGGAGATCCTAATTTCTATGCGTACATAGATCAAGACGGTGGTGCGCACTACCGCTGTTGGTGCGCTACACATGTAGAAATGTGTGTTACGCTCGAAATGTACGATGTAGATCCAGACGGGTGGAACGAGGCTAGAACGCAAGGTGGACGTCGTGCTCGAAGGTTCTTGAGAGAAGTATTCAGAGGAACAGGAGTGAAGGTATTAAATTATGAGAAAGTAAAGGAAATGACCAATCGCTTCTATGATGGAGAATGGTGGGAAACATTTCGGAAGACAGAGCGTGATATTAACAAAAAGCATGAACTTATACCGGCAAACGATGAATATTGGAAAAACGAGGCAGAATTCTGGAGAGAACCGAACAAGGAAGAATCGAACGGGGAAGAACCGGAATAAAATATGTGTAGAGAATGTTTTCTATTATTATTACTCTCTATATATTTTAGTTAGTTAGTTAGTATAATTTTAAGACAGTCAGCGTCTCAGGCTTTTAAAGTCTTTACAGATAATTTTGAAAATGGGAGTATAAACGAAAATTTAGATTTTTAAATTAAGAGAGGTGAAGAGTTTTAGAATTTTGGTTTCTTCTATAATTGTTACTTTCTATATACATTCTTCTATTATTGTTACTTTCTATATACATTCTTCTATTATTGTTACTTTCTATATTTATGGAGCGTTCACCACGTTAGTAGTGTATACACCCTTTCCCGTCGTTTTGCATCGGGTATGGCACTAATGTATCCATTGGTAAAGGCCCGCACTGCTCCACGGGAATCGACGCCATTTTTCGTGGCGGGAAGCAATTTACCTAGTTTCTCATTTTTTTATCTATCATTTCTACCTTTTTTCTCCTATTTTGTCCACTTTACGTAATGCCTGTAGGCTTGTCTTTGAGTAATTAATATCTTTACGTTTTAAAACTCTGCAACGTACTTTTATTTAATGACTCTTTCAAGGATCGTTCACATTTTTTGTCTTCGTGGTTCTGGAAAAATCCTTTCACTAATGACCCCTATATTTTACTCTATGATGACAAGACATTTCTTGTATATATGTATGTTTCCTAGGTTACGCTCCACGTTTAGTTCAACAGCGTCTTGTAGCGCTCTCTTCCGTCCGCGCAAAACCGCTTTCACATATTGACAAGATGCTATACGGTGAACGCTCTCCAACGTCTTAACGTTGGAACCGTCGTCTTGTTTTCTATTACTATTACTCTCTATATTTATTCCAACATGTAACCATGGTACTTATCCCACATGTTCATTCCAATTCCGAGGCGAGGTCACGTAATCTGGTGCATGTGGCATTGACCCGAGTCCTAGAGGACGCCAATGAGCTAATCCTGCTGATCAATGACAAGTAGGGACGGACAGTCGCCGGACAGACGGACTGTCTGTTGACAGTCGCCTCGGGAAAGGGTAGCATTAGAAGGTAATATTAAATCAGTAAGGCGGAGGGATTACATCCCTCGCACTTAAATGATAAGTATGTCGATTGTAATCGTACAGTCTCATCATAAGGTCCATTTAGTTAAATCCTGTAAATAATTTAATTTAAGCTTAGTATTACCGCGAGTAGATACCGCTAGATAAATGCGGTAGTTGTGATATTGTATGATTTAAATTCTATGTCAATATAAAAGAAGAAAATGTTGAAAAAAACTCGAACTGGAGCTCGAAATTGTCGATTTCGAAATATTTCCCTGCATTTGACTCTCTTGGAAAGAAGAGGAACTTTTTCACGGACCAAGTATTTTTTCAGTCACAGATAAAACCGACGATGGAGTTTTTGCTCGTGTCAAGGATTTGCGATACAAAGACTCATAGCGTTTGTGGAATTTCGCAAAAAACACGAATGTGCCACTGGTTTTCTCTGAAACGAGCAGTCAAGCTGAAAGAAAGCTCTCGAAGTTGAGGCTGTAATGAAAGGTACGCCGAGAGTCAACCGCCATTAATAGTAAATGAAAAAATTAAACACTAAGAAGTGGCCCAAAACTGTTTCGTACTGGTGCGCATTAGAGTTCTAAAAATGTATTTTTGACTCTAATTTTAATTTTTGGTATTTCTTGGCTTTGTTTCCCCGCGAAATGGTGTGGGCCCAGCACCATTTCCCCACCTTATTAATAGTAAACCTCTCCTTTCGATGACATAGAATACATGGACAGGGTTGTCCCTTGGTGTGGGGCTCCCAAGGTTGCAACTAGAACAACATTGCTATAATGCTTTCGCTCCCTATTTCTATGAAATTTCAAGATTTTATTTTTCATAAAAAATTGCAACCCTCCATTCGATGGCTTCCATTGACGAAAAAATTACTATGATATTCTTAAACAAGTAATTATGACAGTTTTATTAGTGTAAAATAAACAATTTAGAGTAAAATATGACAATATGCTTAGCTTAGTGTGGAATTGTTTCGTTTATCAACTTGCAATCCTTGTTCGTCACATCGCAGCCACAGGATTACATGACAGAAGAATAAACGTGCAGGAGGAATCATTCGAATTTTTTTTGACAGTTGTCCTCCATCTGTGCCGAACGATGGCAGATCAGCTGGACTACATTCCGTAATTAGGAACTGCAACATTTGGCTCATTTTATAAACAACATACTTAGCATCAATTTTCCTACGCAGATAAGTGTTTTTATCCATGAGCCAGAAATTGTCGTTCCTAATTGCAAAATGTAGTCTATTTAGAAGTCTCGCAACCTCAGTATTTGGTGGTGGTGCGGACGTAGCACTTTCCTGACGGCATCGACACGCTGTCAACAGCGCCCTCTGGGAATAACTCCTGAATTTGCTCGTCGGTTACGCTTGGGAGGATCATAACTTTATCTCCAGGCTGTAAAAAGAAAACATTTTATTTGAGTTAATCTCCTGTATTGAAAGTAATCGTGCCCTAAAATTATTTTGATTTTATGGATGATCGTCAATCTACAGGAGGAAAGAACAGGACCTGAAGTTGATATATATTTAGTTAAATTTGCTTGTGGCCTATCCTCTCAATTTAAGGAGCTAATTTTATCCCAGATCGGTTGATATAAAATGGAAAATCTTGGAAAGGTTGAGTTTTGATCTTATTTGTTACAAAAACGGAGATCATTTTAAATGGTAAAAGCAGATTGTTTAACAAATTTTGGTTTCCGGACATTCGGTCAACGATTTTTGTCCTCACACCTGTTTTGTCCGGTAATTAACGATCACTCGTAAAATAAGCAAGAATGACTTGGTCCAAGCGTATGTTTTAGTCTGTATGTAAAACTGTATTGACAAAATCGAAATAAGAAAATTGAGAGAGAAGGTGTTGCTTCGGTAACTCATTTTTAATTGAAATGTTACTTTCTTATTTTGGTTCATCCTTTCGAATTGTCATTCGTAGTATTTAGTATAAATATTTGGTTTTATTTCTATCCTTAAACTTCTCGATATAAAATATACCTTGTACATGCATTTTTTTTTTTAAATGGAAATATTACTTCTTTTAAAAACATTTACATTTTAAAACGTGGCAAATATTTGTAAAACCTTTTCCAAGCAATGACTTCGATATTAATCTCAATGAGCCGTAGCTGTGTTGAAAAGAAAACTATACAGAAACGAATAAGAAAATAAAAATCCAAGAAGCACGCAATCTTTGGTTTTAACCCATTTGTGCATCGATCTTTTAGAGTCAAATACGTCCAATTTTGAGCATTTGGTTACGCGTACATCACGCTGTAGCACAGTAAAAGCACAAATAAAAAAAAAAAAAAAAAAAAAAAAAAAAAAAAAAAATTAAAGTGCTTTGGGAATCATTAAATTTGACACGGAACCACCGTAATATTTACAAAATACGCATTATATTTTCCTTTAATACATATTTTTTTTTCATCCATGTAGATGAGAATAATCCATGCAGAGTAGGCAAACATTTCAAAATCATGAGTTGAAAGACTTTGACTCCGCGCGTTCAAATATTAGAGCCAATCATAGAGCGGAAGGACGTGCTGCCGGTTGGAAACGCGCATTGGTGCCTACAAACCTAACAGGATACTTCACGCATTGCGCAATGCTTGAAGTATCCCTCTAGGTGTGGGGGCGCCGGTGCACCTTTCGCACTGGCCACCCGCCCGCCGCGCCGGCAGCGTGCCACGGCGCTTCAAGCAACTAAGTATAACTATGTGAATTTTTGTTACTATTGAGCATTTGAGTATAATTCAGTAGGCAAACACTTACCACCCAGTTGGCCGGAGTGGCTATTACTTTCAAGCGATCGTGTAGTTGTAATGAATCTATTACTCGCAATAGCTCACTGTAAAAAAGTAAATATGAATGTATTAGATTTATTACCTCTGTATCGATTTATTTTATTTTATTCTAGGATGAAGCTAAAATTGCGTGACAGCAGCTTCGTGACTAGACTCAAAATATAAGAATCCTCGACTTCCCCTGCCTCTGATTTTGAAAACTCTGATTAGTTTTGGCAAAATTTCTTGACTTCTCTCTAACTTTGAAAAGAGAAATCAGCGTGATCGCTCAGTGCGATCTTCTCTCCAAAGGGAAATCCTCCAATATTAAGAGTATTACCTCAATATTACATCCCTAAACGTAACAAGAGCCGCGCCATTTTAATGTATCAATCCAGAATCAGTCTAATTTTTTACCATGCTTTACATTTTTACAGAAAAACAACAGCATTCAGACTTTAAATTTTGCGAGAATATTCTTCATGATATTAGAGGAAATTCACACACAAATTGAAAGCAGTATAATTTTTAGTTTCCAGGGGGAAAAATTACAAAAAATTTAGGCGACGCCGAATACAATCAGGCTGAATGTGGCTAAATCTATTTATCTCAAAAATAGGAACAATATTTTGTTTTGTTGTATCAGAGGAAGTGAAGTTTCCGGGAAATTTATCTGTAAAGACCAGCGACGTGACGATTTCTGTAAGTTGGCAACACTATTTCCTCATATAAATGCATGTAAAACATCGATTTTACTTAGGATGCTTCACCAAGAATCGATATTCATAATGCATTGCAATTAAATTCAAGATAAACGATCTTGCCTACTTACAAAAATCGCTGCACCACTGGTAAGACAAATTTCCCTGAAATTCACTTCCGTTGTTCCAACACAAAAACGAAATATAGTTCCTATTATTTAGTTGGGTGGATTGTACAAAAGTCAGCTTTATTTTTTCCAAAATTTCCCAACAACCTTTCTTATTATTTTCTCCTCTTTTCTTAAAACATTCCATAAAAATATAAGTAAAAACATAATTAGACGTATTTTTATCAAACAGATTTATGTGCAGGTGAGAAGTATGGGGTTTGCTCGTTAGTTCTCTGGCCGTAAGAGTGACTGAGAATAATAAAGCGCCAAAGACGTCAGCGGCAACGACGCGAGAAACGACAATCGGAAAGGCGGTCTTTAACTCATGAGCCCTGTCCACAACGCTCTCGTGCCATGCCCGCGGCTCGTGAACCCCGCATTCAGTTGGCACATAGTTCTCTTTGCTGAATTCAAAATCCCGCTTTTCCAATTCTTCAAAAGAAATCACGCCCATTGACCACATTGTCTCTTATGCAGTTCTCTAGAGCACACCCCATATTTCTCACCTGCACATAAATCTGTTTGATAGAAATAATACGTCCAATGGATCACTAAACCTTGTTTATTTTATTGAATATTCTGAAAGTATTAAGTGAGTAGATAACGTGGTGATTTTTCCGCATTTTTATGGAGCCGAAATCGCGGAGAAAACCGCTTTTGAAAAATCTAAAAACTGCAGGGCATTTCAAACGCACCCGAATGGCGGGAAACTGACGGTGTTGATGTACTGCGGTATAGTCATATCGCAGTCTTCTCTCATTTTCCTCTGATGTTTGTTAAAATAAAACGTATTTCAATGTGGAATTGTTGCTTGTTTATTACAGCTAACATATGAATGAGATTCGAGTTTTGAATTCAAAAGATATAATTTCGACTTTAGTATTGTTCATATGTACAAATAGTAGATGGGCATTTGACTTGACGTCGTGGAAACCAGTGCCCGCTTCTGATTGGCGCCGGATGACATCATTCGGTGCGGCGCGAAACTGGGGCGTTTTAAATTTGCGTATAAGTTGAGCGATTCAAACTGCGCATTTCCCGGCTATTGAGTTACTTGTTCGCATTTTTAATGTGCGCATCGTGTTCTATGCGTCATTTTACTTCAGCAACCGATATTCGCAAGTCAAAATTCGTTCATGGTTTAGTGACCCATTGCCCTTGGCAAAGCCGCAATCGTTTCCACAGAACCGTCTCCTGGAAAGGAAATGATAGCGAGAGGAAAGGGTTTACTCACTCAACGTTGCGTCCCGTGGACGTTGGGTAGACCATGGAGAGCCTTAACCTCTTATCAGGGCTGATTACGTAGAGAGCTCTGACTGTCATGGCTGTATCCGGATTCTCTCTATCGGCCTCGTTCAACATGTCCAGCTTCACCGCCAGCTCCCTCGACTCGTCGCTGATGATCGGGTACGGGAATTCACCGGGAATGTCCCGGCAGTACGACTTGATGTCCTGCAAATCATCATAAACTATAATAGAAAATTTGCAGGTGTCTGAAATTTTGTAAATTTTATGTTTAACATGATACTGCTGGGAAAACTGAGTATGAGGATATCCTTGGTTTCTAAATTGGACAATTATTGGAGGAAATATGACAAAATAACCTAATCCGCTAAAGTACATGATGTGAAACAATGAAGATCGAAATTCCCAATTTTAGCCGAAAATTTCATGTCCAACCTCTTTGAAAGGCTCGTTTCTTTGTTCGGCGGGCTTTGCTGCTCGGATCTAAAATGATAGATTGCCTTCAATTGTGCATTTATACTTCGAAGACACCTCATAGACACGAATAGTTGCTTCAAAAATCATACTCAGCACATCGCGATATCATAACTGAAGCACAAAAGATACTCACTTCCCTTGCCTGTATGCAACTATTCGTGCCTGGGAGTTATCTTTGCAGTATGAACGAAGAATTGAAGGTGCTTTACCATTTTGCACCCTCGCATTGAAGCTCGCAGTTGGCGCCGCAGGTGCCTATACAGTCAAAACGCCTTCATTTCCGTGCGTATGCAACACGGACATCCATGGATCCCGAATAGTTGCGTCCAGGAGTTAAGATGAGTGTTCGTCGCATTCGTCTTCAACTGAGGGTGATTTGCTTGTTTTTCTCGCACTGCAACTCAATTCCAGCGTTGCCTATTGTGCCGATGAAGTAAATTATTATTGATTCTTATCGTAACATCGGCAATCATCCGAATAATTAACGCTTGGATCGTTCCTATAAATTACTACGTTACCGTCCTAAAAGTGGGCTGTGCCGTGCCCCTTCCTACTCTGATTTTAGAACGATGATTTCGGCAAAGTCGTTTTATGGCCACTCCAGGAAAAATTTGAGCGCTCATCTTAACGTATTTGTATTCTTTCTGCGAAGAAGAGTCAGAAAGAAGTCCGGTCAAAAATGTAAATCAACCTACGGTCAATTCCAATCCCGGTGTGTCAAGACCAAAGCTCATGGAAAACATGTCTAACGTTATTGATTGGTTCACGACTTACAATAATTGCAAAAATGTAAAAATCAGGAACAGCTATAAGAGCTCATAAATTGGGAAAAATGCATGAAGAGCTTTTAAGTAGGTCAGTGGTACATAAAAAGCTAAATTTCGGGAGCGTCGCGAGTCTTTGAAGCCCTTTTACCGAAAATGGACTCAAATTAATTGTAATGACATGTAGGTCATTGTATTGATTGAGTAATCAATCAATACAAGCATCGCAAATTAATTAAGGTAGGTAATTTAAGATTTTCCATTCTATTCATCCAACTTAAAGTCGAATTATAACTTTTCTTTATTCTTTATTTACTTTTGAATTTGAGAAAAAATCTCACATTGCATTGCTACCATTTGACTTTTGATCTTTTTGCGGTAAATTAAAAGTGGAATATTTCTCTGAATTCTCCAGATTTATTTTTTCATTTTTTCTCATTGTCGATTTTTTCCATTCTAAGCGATACCAAGAGAGGTTCCTAAATTTGGACTCACGAATCTGAAGACATATTCGACGAGAAACGAGCGCGAAACCTGGTATTCATCGGCTCGCGGTTGCCAAACCGGTCCCAAAATAAATAATTTCCATTGAAACACTCAGACGTGAGTCTGGGTTACGAGACACTGACCCTCCCACGTAAGGATCGCTATGCGTTTATTACACCGTCCTGACCTTGTTTGAAAAATAGAATGCATTATTAATTCACCGAACGCGACATAACATCACGTCCACGATCATCTTATATAACATGTTTACTCCGCGGACGACCAGTGTCTTCCCTCGCGCACGAGGAGTATCAACCGCCGACTTTTTATGGGGAAGCTCCGTGCCAAGAAGCTACTAGTAATTAGAAAATCTGGTTTTCTTCTATAAGGAAACGACAGGAGCAGGGAAATCTGGACATTAACCTCCACTTTAACATGTGTCATGATGATCACAATATGTTCTGAATGATTCCCACAACGGGTGTTTTTGCATATTGCACAATATCTCACGAGGTTCGATCAGCCATTAGATTGTTTTTGAACAGTGGCGAAGCGTGAATAATCGATTATCGATATTTTCCCGTTTGAAGCTATGGTAATGAATCGATTATTAAGCTGTACGTTGCGAACACCCTGTTTACTGATCGTTTTCCATAGGTTTAAATGGCGGATCAATCGATATATCGCAAAACACGTCACGCTACTGCTTCTGTAGTAACGTCAAACGTATACTTCGAGATCGTATCACTGATGTACACTTATTTAGTCGCAATGTTGTGTAATTTTCCTCTCGTGGAAGAGTACAGTATCCTCGAGACTCAGGCGCCTTTTTGTTGTGTAATCATAGGGTGATTAAAAATAATGTTTGGCTCGGATTTTGGTTCCCATAGAAATTCTATGAGAGGTTAATAAGAGCTAAGAAACTTTTGGGTTCGTGCGTTAATTTTTGGAGGGTGCGCACCTCCAAAAATCCCCCTTATTAAAAAAAAATCCGCGATTTTTTGTATTTTAACTTCCGGACAATTTTAACACACTTTGTGAGTTTGGATTATCGGTTTACGAAAGATACTCTAAAAAACAGAACATCGAAGTAGAAATGCGCAAAATTTTGGCACGATCAGATTTATTTTAGGGGATGTATACCCCTGTAACATGTAAAAATGCCGGTTTTGTGTGGTTTTCACGGATTTAAATCCTTTTAGCGACAAAAGTGTTTGTCGGGATCGTTTTTGCACGTATAAAGGGAGAGGGTAGATCCCCTGAAAGAATCCAGTCGTGTGTAAATTTTGCACAGCTCTACTCTGGTATTCTGTGTTTAGATTTTATACTCGAAGTCGATATTCTAATCTCAAAAAGTGTGTTAAAGTTGTTCATATGTGAAACTACGAAAAATTACAATTTTTGTTTGAAAAACACGGGGTGGACACCCTCCAAAATTGATGAATTGGCCCAAAATTTTTCTTAACTCTATTCTTGTCACTAATCTTCCAGACTTTTAACTGCGGATCCAAGACGGAAAATGTATTTCTGGACCACTCCACAATAATCATCATCTGTTTTGCACTTCATCCGATAAGATGATACCTAATTATTTTAGCATGAAACGTAAAAGGTAAAACTTACATTAACCCAGTCTGTGTGAGTTTCAAGTTTGTCGCAAGATAGAGCTAAGAGTTTCACATTCCTCTTCTCAAATTCGGGTAAATGAACCGCCATCCTTCCTAGTTCAGTCGTGCAGACCGGCGTGAAGTCGGCAGGGTGGGAAAAAAGTACTACCCATCTGAAATCAAATGCATTTATATGATAATACTTTATCGAGAACAATCTTGCTTAAAATTTTAAAATTCGACCTAGTTTCTACAATATGAGAATTAAATAGGTTTCCACCAAACTCAACACAATTTGATTAAATGTCTACAAAATAATGTAAAATGACCTATAAGTTGAACTACGTTTAACGATTCTATTGTTACGCCGAACAACATTTCTCAATGGGCAAATTCCGTGCTTGAAAGAGCCTATTTCCCTCCGTAACGGAATTTTAGTGCAAGTTGGCAAACTTAAGTTCTACTTAAGTTCAAATGAAAACATTTGTCAAATTTTCTAGATATAATTTGCATAAACAACAAACTAAAGGAGCTTTTGAAATGAATGTTTTTAAAATGAGGAAGAGCGTTGGCAAATCTCATTCGTTGCAATTTGTTGCAACTTTTACTGGATATTATTTATGATTTTATAATACCCTGAACGAAATACTCCAGAAAATTCAAACAATAATATCTCCTCTAAAATACAAGATACAATTGAAGATTCTGGGATACCGTAACCGAGGAGTGCCGTTTCTGCACTCAACGCCTCAATTGAATCAGTTTCTTTTAAACGGGCATAAGTTCAAAAACTCGTGAGCCCTGGCTTTCGTTGATCATTCAGGACGCTAGGGCTCATGAGTTTTCGGACTAACGCCCGTCTAACAGAAACCGATTCAGTTATAATTTAAAAGCCATTGGATTCCCATTAGATTAGAAGAGCAGTTGAATCGGAACTTTTAAAAAGGATGCAAGTCCATTTTTCAAAAAAAAAAAAAAAATATTCTTCTTATTCATTTAACTCTCTGGTTGGCCTTTAGTACATATATGAGGAACTTTCCGACTGAACAGCACATATCTTTGTCAACATTGCGAAGACTGTGCATATACATTCAACTGTTTAGTTGGTAGAGAGCCGTAAGCTCAGTTCTGAAATTTTCCTCAATTTTCCTTTCTATAACTCTTTTTTTTTAGTACAGAAATGCACAGTGTGCATAATTTTGGGTACTAAGAAAAAAAAGGAACAAACTTAACGACGTTGACATGAGTGTATGCTGTTTGGTCGGAAAGGTCCATATCGACGGCGTAAGTCCGCAATTGCATATCTCGTTTGCGGTGTCTGAAAATCTCCGCCTCTATGTTATTTTTTTAAAGGAGAACAAATTAACATCATTCCTTGAAGTTTTGGCAAGAATTTTTCCGCACGGAGAAGGAAAATCACGGCAATTTTAAAGAATTGCCGTTGAGTAGTTTTCCGTTCAAAAAATAAAGTATGGCAGGAAGTCTGCGACGTCGCAAACCGAGTTATGTGATTGCCGACCTACACCGTCAATAATCTAAGTCCAAGAAAACAGCGGTAGTCCGCTGCTCGGAACGCGAATGTCGCGTAAAAGAACGTCAAAAATTTAAAATAAAAGAAAACCAGTTTGAAAAATTGGACTTCCACCCTTCTTAAAATCACTGATTCGGTTGCACAATTAGCTAGCAACATGTGATGGCGCTAACAGTTTTTGAATTCCCTTTCATCCATCGATACCGTTCCGCATATTGAAAAACCAGCAGAAACTCACGAGTCGCCGGCGAAATCGTAGAAGTTGATCGGGCCGTGCGTGGTGTTGGCCGGGAAGTCCGGGATGATCGCCTCGAGCCGCATATCGCACGCACAGGACACAGGACACAGGACACAGGACACAGGAAACGGGAATTGAACTCGGGATGCGGGTGGCACTGCACTGACGGCACTTCTCTCGCGGCTACCGACACTGGTCGTCGCTGATTAGTCAATTGGCCCAAGTGGTCAGCTCTGTGGATACTCTCTGGCGCGGAGGGCGAGGATGATGTGAGCGAGGTTGTCGCGTGTCGACGCTTAAGGGGCTTCGGGATCGCGAGTTCGTGACGAAAGTGACAAAACAGTCGCCGTGACTCACTCCTGATGTCTTCGTTGGGTTTTAGATTTGAGCTGGCGCCTCGGGACTATTCTCCGCGGCTTCCGTCACTCTTTCGAGTGGCGCACTCCATGTTTACGAGTGTGTTTACGCGGGATTTGTAACGTTCGGAAATTATGATGAATTTGAAATGCTGAGTGCCAATTTAACAATGGGGATAAAAGCAATTAAGCGCAATCGGGTTAGGAGTAGAAATGGACGTATGCTAAAAGGAAGTATGCTCCACCCTATGTACAAAGTTCCTTTTAGCATTAATACGTCCAAATTACATTTTAAAAAACTTCATGAAATTTTGCATCTCTGGCTACTCCAAATGGCGCTTGTATGGTTTTTTTTTTTCTCTCAATGAAGCTATCTGTCCATCTATCCATCCAACCATCTATCTAATTCAAAACCAGATATGCGCTTTTAGGAGTAACCTGAGAAGAAACATTTCATACAACTTTATAAAATGAAATGTTAAAAAAAAAAGAAAAAAAAAAGAAAAAAAAAAAGAAATCAAAAATTCTGCGATGAACTCAGTGTGCCACGAACTACATAAAAACAGTTAAACCCTTGAATTTGGAATTTTTGGAAAAAGGTGAGTCAAATTTGGAAGTTTCTCATCGAATGCCCGGATGATTGTTGCGGTTTGCAAACGCAACCCCTGAAAAAACGTAAACATTTCATGGAAAATAAACTTTCGATCTTCAGCAGAATGAATTTGATTTAAATTATACGAAATTTCATTCCTCGAAATGAAACGAAATTTTATTCCTTAAAATTTCGTTTTGCATCTGTGAGTAGCTAATATCGGGCACAGCGTTCTGCACAGGCGGAGGCAAAATGCATTTCCTCCGAGAACTTTTGGCGGAGTAATACCTCTAAATTCTGATCATATTTTCAAGATAAGAATTGCCTCCTTCCCCAGGTACCCACACAGATACTCATATTAGATTCCCGTTAGATGAGAGAAACAGTTAGACCATCTCAGTAACACTTGATAGCACTTGCCAGGTTCTAAATTTTCACTCAGCATGTAGGTATTTGCGAGGTTTTTCATCATTATTTCGAGATCACCCTCGTACATTTCTACGAGCAAAGGTCCAGTTCTATTTTTCTGCACAGAAATATGAGGCGTAATTTTGAAACTTGACAAGCAAGATCGGTTTTTTCCTTCATTGTTCCACCATCAATATTGTAGGAGTCGAACTGGAACATCTCAATGATCACATGCGGGCATTCTGATCCTCCTCTTTTTCAACGACTGTGCGAAAAATGTGGTGATTCCATGATGACGCACCCACTGAAGATGTAAGTGAGTGATTTTAAATGAAAAGGGGAGGAGGAGTGATGGGAGGGGGAGGGTCCCCTCCTCTTCGTTAGGAAGGAGGGGGAGGGGTCGGAGGGTGTCATAGAACGTCCGGCGGAACTTTGATGAGACAGAATTCTTTATGAAGCCACAGAGGAGGAGAAAAGGATGGCACTGGCGTCAAATTTCAACATTTATTTCTCAAGTTCGTAGGAACAAAAATTATCGCAGTCGTCATTAAATTTTGCGATCGAAGAAACAAAAGTTATCAATTTTGAACAAATTATCTGAGTTCAAAAGAATGAGCGAGACATTGCTCACTGAAAAAAATATGCTAGATTTTACCATACTCTGACACAGTGATATGAGTATGGTAATAAACACCAACCTCTGTGGTAGTATTTACAATATTATGATAAGTATCGATAGATTTCTTGTAAATACTACCGTAATTCTGGTTATTTTCACTAAATAGTATCACTGTGTAAAAAAGCAAGTAGACTTACAGTAGATGTTCCCATATTTTCTTTTCAATATAACGTTAATTTTGTTCGATGTGGCTACAAATATCTTACGGACGTGTTTATGCCAAAAGGAACTATGTCTCACGCAAAACCTATGCACATAGTTCCTTTTACCATACATAAGTCCATGATGAGGACCGGTGGCGTGGCGTGCTTCGATATATATCGATATTTCCCCATGGTAAAGAATCGATCATTAAGGTATTCGTTGCGAACATCCTGATAATCGATCCTTTCCCACAGGTTTAAATGGCATAGATCAATCGATTTATCGCAAAGCACGCCACGCCACTGATGAGGACTGAAGCTGCCGAACGATTGCATTTCCTGTCATGCTTGCCACCATGACCGGAATATTTGGAGGCGTTTCCAGCCCTTCTACCTTGTACGGTCCCTAAAACGGCCGGCTCGGCAAGGCCCAGGAGCTTTGCATATGAGTAGAATAGGAAATAGAAGATGTCTTAGTCGGCAATTCAATGTCTCTTCTGCGAACTCTAAGTTGCCAAACTTTACTTTGTTTTCGAAAGGAATGTATCGTCCAGCTTACCTAGAAGACGAGAGAGAACTACTACGCACAAAAATTACCTCCGTGAACCAATTTTTGAATGACATTCCATGATTTTTCTATTTTTGTGATTGTTCACGCAGAAAGCCCCTTCTCTGGAGGGTTATTTTTTGTGAAAATGCGTATTCGAATCGGTATTTAGATTTCTAATTGAGTACGCTCTCTACTAAACAAAATTTAAATTACAGTAGATTTTAGTTATTCATGTTTGAGCAATTGTAAGTGGAAATACGTATTTTCATCTGCAGATGTTAGAAACTCGATGCAGTCGAGCAAAACGTTGGAACATTTTGATAGGTGTGTACTGCATTTTGCAATTATAGGTACTACAATTTCCAGCTCACTTCAGAAGTAGCGCATGTGCCGCAAGTTTCCACATGCATATAGGTGTTTTTACAGAAGAATCAGATGTTAGATATTGTATTTCTAATTTGCAAAGTGTAGTCCAAATCAGGGCCGGATTTAGGGGGTGGCCACATGGGCCGCGGCCTATGGCGGCAAATCTAGGGGGCGGCAAATTTTGCAATGCTTTTAAATGTAGGTATGAAAAAAATCGGATTTAGAAAAGAAAAAAATTACAAACTAGAAAAGGCAACAAAATCTCTCATTTCCTGAGAGTATAGTAATTTCTAATTTTGTCGTCTTTCAGTAATACAAGAGACAGCACCTTTAATTAGTCGAGTTAAGAAAGAAACCAAACACGCAATTTGGCCTGGAACGGTGCGCGGCTTAGAAAGAAATGATGAAGAGGACTTGATATGAAAAGTAGAAGCCCTCGGCGCGGCGGTCGGCATGTAACATATATTAGCGCCTACAAGCCTGCGTGAATACTTCACGCATTGCGTCAAACACACTGCGTTCAGCAGCGGTCGGCGTGAAACGCACAGCGCCTACAACACTGTAGGAATACTTCACGCATTGCGCCGAACACAGTGTGGTCTGCGCGGCGCGGTGGTGGAAGTTAAAATCATTAAACCACATTTATGTTTGTTCTTTCATGATTTTTTCGTTCATTTCTGATAAATGGAAGGCTTTGACCACACAGAGATAGGTTTACGGAACTTAACTTTCGCCCAAAGTTCAATGAACTTTTGCTAATAGTGTTGACAGGGCTTTCTCAAAAAATGTGTCCAACACGAGTAAACGCGCCTTATGCACCCCTCCCCCTCCGGCACGTTTACTTGATGGTTTTTATTGATTTTTCAAAACGAATGAGAAGGGGTCGGCAAAATACAGGCGGCCCATGGGCGGCAAGTAGGTAAATCCGGCCCTGGTCCAAATATAGTTCTGCCAACTCCAAATCGCCACCACCAACCCCAATCACCTTAAGTGTTTGAAATTTCTATTAGCTTCCGTTTCAAAATTTCCCCGAAATACTGCTTAGCTCGAAAGTTTAAATAATTTTACTTGGGAATTTTTGACACTACGGTCCCTTTTTCTGCGAAAAGTTACATTTGGATTCCCAGGATCTTCGTTGTTCATATAAAAAAGGTACTTTATTCTGCTCTGCGTGAATGCGGGGGTGGCAAGGAGGGGGACTGAAGCAATACATTTTTTTGAGAATCATTTATTGATCAAATATGATTAAGGTACGGTAGTACATGGCTCCTTAATAATTGAAAGAACTCCAATGGAAGGGCTGACTCAGCTTTTTCCATGGTTCTTGTTGGCGTTTGTCATGACTCCTTTTGCTCGGAGCTTTTCCGTGGGCAATGACCTCAATTACAAATGCCAGCCCTGAAAAGACATAACCTAAAGCAAGGATGAAAAACGCGAATAAAAGCTCGTCAAGTTCTGCTGCCGCGTACTCTCTCGCAAAACACACTGGTTTTTGAACGTCCCAAACTGATTCCACGTGACCGGTCAACCCCCGCTCTAGTAACAGAAGAAACCTGCAGAAATGACATCATAAGAAAATTAAACATTTTTTTTTCTCATTCATAAGTTTTGCCCATAAGTTGGTTTTAAGAGCAAGAAGAACAAAATAATATACTTGATTTCAGGTGACTCCTGTAGGTGCGTGCCTTTATTTTTTACCCATGAGAAACGTGTATCAAGACTAATTTTGTTATATTTACTTGAGTGACGTTATCAGTTCCCTATACTTGCGTCACTAAGGGCTATGGACCTGATTCTACAGTGCGATCAGTGAAACCAAATTTTTTTCAACCTTTAGCGTGAAGTAAAATTAGTGTGTTTGAATTTTTAATTTGAGACAATGATACAATTAAATACGTCAGTACTCGAAATGTAAAATCACTTGAAACGCAATCTCTCATCTCACTGATCCCTAAAATTAGCTAATGCGAGAAAGACGAACACTAAGCAAGACGTAATAAGATAGAAATGTGTGATAAAAGTACGTAATTTGAGAGGATGTTAATTAATAAATCTTACGAGTGTTGTTATGGCTCTTGAGTGAGTGAGTGAACTTCTAGCATGCCCCTTCAAATTTTCAAGTGCATTTGTGCATGGACTATTTTTATCATTCAGTTCGTAAAAATCGGGTAACGATAAGAGAGAGACAAAAATAAAACCGGATGTTTCCTCTTTACAAATTCCACACTAAATTGGCAGAATGGGTCTGATGCATGAGTACAAGCAATACAGACAACTGGGTAGGCTTTATGTAGGTAGAGTGCACAAAAATCATGATGCGTTAGAATATTTTTACAAAAGTAAATCAATATCGCAGATTTTGGGACTTTGCTATGACTTGATAATGTCATATGAACATAAGGGACTTGATATGAAGATTAATTTAATGACTTCGTGTTGTTCAGGATCCTTCAAATAAACGCCTTTACCGACCATTAACACATTTTTCAAATTCCAACTATCTTTATAAGTCGATGGCGAAAGTGCGAAACCATGCCTCTCCATTACGATGTTTCAAAGTTTCCGCTCCTATTTAGTTTTTTCCAAGAGAAACAAGCCAACTTTATAGTGTACAATTTTTCAGAATATTCTGCTGGCACAGAAGAAAAATTAAAGAAGTTCTTCCGTTGACGAGTTTTTCAAAGAAAGAAGAAAGAACGATAGGAAGTCTGCGAAATCGCAAACGGAGAATACTTAGTTTTGCATTTTGACCATCGATATGCAGATTTTATAAAGGCTCTCAAATCGATTATCCGTAATCGACTAAGACCAAAAGTTGAAGGTTTGGATAAAAATTATAAAAATTGATGACACTGAACTGGATTGCATTTTGTAAGAAGGAACTGGCGACAGGGGGTATTAAGTGAGATGAGGGAGTGTCAACTCCCTGATAACCTGTGGGAAGACCGAGCTTTGTGGCGTTTAGGTGTCGCAAAGCGCCAAAGAGCGCTATAACAGCGACTCGTATGTAAGAAGGAACTTAGAGCATTCCAATGTTGCTAGGATCGTGCAACTTACATTCGTTGCAGTAAAATTACTGACATCACGCAACAAATTAAATTTACAAAGGTAATTCTCGTCTTGAATTTATAGTTTATTGAGAGCAGGGATAAAATTTGTTTCGACGGCTGGTCTACATTCGCAAGGGAAAAAAAGTTTCACAATCTTTGCGACATTTGAATGCTCTTGGTTCCTTTTTGCAAAATGCAATCCAACTCACCCTGAAGAGATAAACTCGTTGTAGTAAGAGTCTTTTTGCACGACGAAAGCTCGTGAGACTTTGAACGGGAACAAATCGAGAACCCGGATTTTGCACTTTTCGCTGTCCGTGAATGTTGTCTCCATCTCCAGAAAAAGGTGCCTGATGTCGGCCTCGAACGCTGATGAACCGTTCCGCACTTTGGTCAATCCGTCTTCCAGGGAGACAAAAGCATCCTTGTCCTTCATTTTCTTGTCGTACGCCTCATTCAGTATGGAGACATTGTACGACTGAACAGTTTAAAAAATAATTTGGTAAGTGTTGGTTGTGATTAAAATTTTCTTTCAAACGATGTGTCCCAGTAATTAAGGAGGGTATTTTGGCCCTAACTTCGGTCGAAAATTGGAACAGCTTAGAATAATGTCATGTATGGTCAAAGCGACTCTTAATCATCTACCTACCCTGTGAGGACTTGTCCTTATTTGAGATGTTTTTAAAATGGTTTTGCCTGATTTACCAGCGCAAAGTAATGAAGTTTTGCAGTTTTCTCGAATAATTTCTTATTTTCAGTCCTAAATCAGATTGCTTACGTATGAGTATAGGTGACTACCACTTTCTCCTTTAAATATGTTATAATGGGTGTACTAAAGATTAACATATTTAAAGGAGAAAATGTCAACTGATGATGTCACAGGGTGGTACATTTTCACACTTTGAAATGTATTCTTGGACAACTTCCCATATTGGAAAGCAATTATTATCATAACAATTATTAACAATTCTGCGAACTCAGCTCATTGAGCACTTTCTGATTTAGTAATACAATTTTTCCGCACAAATTACTTTTTAAAAAGATTGTTTTAACAGTCGTTGTTACCAGGGAATACTGACTCTGAAAAAAGCTTTGTTGTAGGGAATGTCCTCGGAGAGGAGCTCCAAGTCGCTGTCGATGAGGTCCCGGAGGCTGTTGATGCGGAACGGGGGTGGGGAGAGAAGGGAGATGATGAGCGCCGTGTTGTAATAGTTGTAGACGAGGAAGCTGAACATCATGAACGTCAACGCCACGATTCGCCCCGGGCTTTTGTTCGGCTCCATCTCCAGACCTGCACCAAGTCATCAACTGTGAGAAATGAAACCGCCGACAAATCTTCGTTTCCCTCACAAAAGAACGTAACCAAATTGGACGTATTTATGCTAAAAGGATTTATGTGTAAGTGGAAAGATGGGGTGTGCTCGTGGTGAGCTGGATAAGAGACAATGTAAAAGTGGATATAATGGAGATGTTTCATGTGTAAGGAATTGGCGATTTGACTGTTGATACTTATGCAGAAGTTTGCGAGAAACACGATGGTCCCACTGGTTTTCTCTGAAATCAACTCCCAAGCTCAATAAGATCTCTCAAGTTGAGGCCAAAATGGAGGAGATATCCCACGCTATCCTGAGCGTCCACCTCTACATCAAGACAAACTCTCCATGCAAAGATAGGGAGCAAATACGTTGACAGGGCTGCCACTTTATTTGGGGACTCTAAGACTGAAAACACGGCAACCATGTGAATTTATTTACTTCCTATCTTTGCATAGAGAGTTTGTCTTGATGTAGAGGTGGACTCTTAGGATAGCATGGGATATTTCCTCCATTTCGGCCGCAACTTGAGAGCTTTTTTTGAGCTTGGGAGTTGATTTCAGAGAAAACCAGTGGCATCATCGTGTTTCTCGCCAACTTTTACATCAGAATCAACAGTCAAATCGCAAATTCCTCACACATGCAACATCTCCATTCCTTTTGAGAAAAAGGAAAAGCGGGATTTCACATTAAATCAAAAGGAACTAAGCGCCAACTCGTGAGCCGTGGACACGCGACAGGAGCGTTGTGTACAGGGCTCATGAGCTAAAGCCAAACGAGAACGACAACGGAGACGGTTTCGTTGCCCCTGACGTCACTGCAGGCGCTTTAAAATCTCCATTCATTCTTATGGCCCTCAACTAATGAGCACACCCCATTTTTCCACTTGCGCATAGTTCCTTTTAGCATAAATACGTCCATTTCAATGTTGCTGAATTCCCCCTCAAAAATGTATTTTACCAAGAGAATTTTGAGAAACTTTAACGGAAAATTTTACTGCTTTTTCTGCTGATTGTATGCAAAAATCAGATAGTTCTGGACAAAAATTACAGCGATACATTCTTCTGAAAACTTGAATTCGGTGATTCAATTTTGCAACCTTAAAATAGATTTACGTTCCTCCGTCTAGGAAACTATGGAATGAATATCGTATAATATCACCATAAGTCTACAGATATTTGAAAGCACGTTTTCTTCTTGTCTAACCTCTTTTTATCATTCGCGGAGGCTCTTTTCATTTACGTGATCGTCTATAGAAAAGAAGGACTGAGTTCAGTACAATCGCATCGATGGCACGATGGAAAACTGGATGTATGTATGTTAAACCAACAATGTTGCTTGCAAACATTATACACATTCATGTTGTGTGCAACTGTTCGTGCGTCGTGGATGTCCTGCTCGTAGTATAAACGACAAATTGAAGGCGTTTCGTAATTTTGGATCGTTGCAGTTTAGTTTAGTACAACCCTCCGCCGCGCCGCACCGCGTTTGAAGCGGTCAATGGTGAGTATCTGGAGGATCAAAACGCCTTCATTTTCGTGCGTGAGCAACACGGACATCCTTGAAGCTCGAATAGTTGCATTTATACGTTTTAATCTAATTCGCTAAGTGTTCGTTACATGGGATACAATACTTGATTTTGCCATTATTTGTAACTTTCCGGTAGAGCCCGTATTCAGGGTGGCAAAATTTCATGAAAAATTAAATCTTGTTTCTCGTGAAATATTTCATGGTTTTTCTGAGATTTATGAAAGATATTGAAAAATGTAGGTTCCTTTTCATGTTGCTTAAAATGTAAAAATTGTGACTTTCTTCTATTTTTATGTGTCTGAGTGCATTTTGCATACTGTAGCCCCTAAAAATATGAAATATTTCACAGCCTCATGAAATTTCATGACATATTTCACCGAAATTTCCAATCTTTCATTTCTTTCTTACGTTTTATGCCACCCTGCACATATTTAACCGGATTCAAACAACTTTTTTTCGCCAGTGCCAAAATTCACAAAAAATCACGTTGATTTCACAGTTTTTTTTTGTTGTTTTTGTTTGTTTTCCCCCCTCATAGCACTGGTAGGTCATCTACACTACAAAATTCTCCCTTCCGAGGGAGATCATTTTGCGAAGTCTTTTTTAAACATGAAAGCACCTAACTTACCTTGCTGTGAAATGGCACCTACAATGAAGAGGACATACTTGTAGACACTCGGCCGAAAATTTCGCTCGAAGTTAAGTCCAAAGCTGAAGAAACAAGCCGACACAATGGAAATCGAACTGACAACAATCCACGTTGTGGTTGAAAATGAGTCATACAGGGCTCTCCAACGATTCAAAGTCACCGGTTCGAAAAAGACAAAAGCTGCCCTGAAAAAATTACATACACTTTCAACGAGAGTGTGGTACTACGAGCTGATTTTTGAATTTGATAGACAAAACCATAGCAAAGAAGACATAGAAAGAATGTAGCATCCTATTGGTGGAAAAGGATAATTGCGATGTGGACAAATTAAGTAAATAACCTCATTTTTCCACTTCCACATAGTTCCTTTCAGCAGGAATACGTCCGTATATGAACCGCGTTAAACAAAAAGGAACAAAGCCACATCGGCTATTGCCAAATCGGGCAATTTAATGTTTTACTTGAACATGGTTGTGCGAATTTTTGTGCAAATTACGGTAACTTTTCTCCGTTATGCGCAGCAAATTCCCGAACATTTTCAAATGAATCCGCACAAACGCTCTCTCCTTAAAAATTAAATTTCCCAGTTTTTGGCAATAGCTATTGTGGCTTGGATCCTTTCTGTTAAACTCGGTCCATATTATAATGCTTGTTTCCGTAATAAAGTGGTCCCATCGACCGAAATTAAATTTCGATGATCGGATCCGTCATTTAATCTGTTTGAATTTATTATGAAGCGTGAGACTGACCGGTTAATAGATTGGACGGGTGGGAGGGTGACGTCCGCGCGGGAATAATCGACGGCCCTCATGCGCTCCATGTTGCGGATGACGCTGAATCCTACGTCGAGTTCTCTCCTCTGCAGTTTCCCAATAAAGCCGTCGTATTGGATCACTGTTGGTGACTTCACGTTGCCATAATTGTCCGTCACGTATATCGAGGATCTGCAAGCCGGAAACGCCGAAAACACCGTTGTAGCATATATTTCGCGCCAGAATAAAATTAATCACGCCTGGTGCACAGGGCCGGATTTAAATTTGTAGCGCCCTAGGCTAAACTTAGGGTGGCGCCCTTAAAAGTAGGCGCTCTCGTGGGGGGGGGGCAGACACCCCTCCCCTCCAGATCAGAAGGAGAATGTTAGGTATCAGGAAAATGTTCAAATTCACATTTAAAAAAACACGATTTTAAACAACTTTGAGGTACGTTTACGTTTGCGAGTTGGTTTTGGAAAATAAAAAGAAACAAAAAACTCGTTAAATTAAAAAAAAAAAAAATTCTCAAAAATTATGCGCCCTTCAGAATGTTGCGCCCTAGGCTACAGCCTAGGTAGCCTATTGGTAAATCCGGCCCTGCTGGTGCACCTTAGGCCGAACATAATTTTTCGTGAAGAGTGAAACATTAGCACAATATAGCAAACGACAACTGGTGACGTGACACATACTGCCATGCTAAGGAAAAACGCCGTATGAACATTCGAGGGTTGCCAAGTTTACTTTTTAGTAAATAATTATTTCTGGAAAGTTACAAATATTTTAATTGAGATTTTCCGACACTTCAACCAGATCAAATTATAAGCAAAATCCTGTAAAACATCGGAGACAAAATATAAACTAATTTTCCAGAAAATGCGTGATTTGTCAAAAGAAGTTTGGTAATTTGTGAAAGCTCATACGGCGTTCTTCCTCAGCACGGCAGCAAACTTGACTCATCAGCTTGTAAATGGACTGAGTTTAGCAGAAGGGAACCAAGTAACATCAGCCATTGCCAAAGTTCACTTGGGCAATTTAATATTTTACAGAAGAACGTTTGTGCGGATTACTTTGAAAAGTTTGAGTAATTTGCTTCGTATTATGCAGAAAATTTACTGAAACTTGTGCAAAAATCCGCACTATACCGTTTTCATGTAAATAATTTAACCGCCCCATTAAATTTGGCAATAGCTGATGTGGCTTGGTTCCTTTCTGCTTAACGCGGTCCAAATATTCGTGCATTGCTCAATAAATTAACTTTAATATCCGAGGTTGAATCAAATATGGAATTCCTGCAGAAATTACCAATAAACAAACGAGGCACCGGCACTTTCTCCTTTTAAAAAAATAAGCAAATGCGAATAAGTCTGAAGGCACCGAAGTGAAATCAATATATTTCCCAGAGTCTTGTTAAGTAATAAAATTGCGTTAAATGGCGTATTCTTCGGCCAATCTAGCGTGGGATGAATTCAGACTTCTGAATTCAATGTAATCTTGTACACCCACACTGCCCACAGTCAAAAATTCATGCATGAACGAAACGGTTTATATGTCCATTAAAATTCCTCACTCAGTCACTCGCAGGGTGGCATGAAACGTAGAAAGAAAGAAATGAGAGATTGGAAATTTCAGTCAAATATTTCTTATTTTTAAGGGGTTAGAGTATGCAACCCGCACCCAAACGCCTAAAGATACATGAAAATCACAATTTGTACATTTGGCGAAACATAAAAAGGAACCGGTATTTTTCAATATCTTTCATAAATTTAATATGAAATTTCCAGATTTTATTTCTCATGAAATTTTGCCACCCTGTCACTCGAGGCCGATTCGAAATTCATAACAAGTGTGCAAATTTTAGCGGTAGCAGAGGCACTAAACTTGCGCGGCGCCTTCAGTCAGAGACGCGTGCACACAGTTTACAAGGTGTGCATGCTTTCTTTTACGGTAAGGTTCAAACTTACGTTATATTATGCATTTCCGCAATCAGCGACCACAGATCATAGTCCCGCCTTCCATAGTAGTCTTTACTCTGAAGAAAATGATGGTTTCTGTATACTTCCTCGCTTACTGTGCCCAATTCAGGTAACTTGCGCAGTAAATAGGAGGAATCAAAACAGTAAAGAAAAGAAGAAGAAAAATTCAATTAATAATAAATATTAATACAGGAAATAATGAATAAATAAATAGAATTCAGTAATAAAGGATGTTTTACGTTGTTCAAAATCACGGGCGGTACGTAAGCCATTTTAGGAGGACAACTGAAAAACCATTACTTCTTCTTGTTTCGATAAAATAAGGTTTTTATGCATGTCATCCGAATTAGTCTTGTCATTCAAATTGGGTCAATTTAGGTATCGGAATCATTGTCACATGTTCATCAGCATTCTGCAGAGGAGTCATATGGGGAGGGTTGGCAAACATGTCCCCTGCATTTTGATTTTTGTTTATTTATAGGTAGGCTGAAATTTTATCAATTTTAGAGCATTTTGAGATCTTTTTTTTTATGTTTTCTCCTCTCTCAGCCAATTTCCCTCCTTCTATAGAGAACCTTCCCTTGGAGCGGAAATTATTCTCCAGAACCCATTTGATGAGGTAGGTACCCTTCTGCCCCCCCCCCCCCCCGCATAGTTCCTAGTTCCGCCCATGAAGACTGCCTACCCAGTGTACACGAAAATCATAGATCGAGTTGCTGTTTCTTCGAGAAAATTTAGAGTTTGCTAACTTATATTAAGGCATGTACTTGATTTTCATATACCATAAACATATTTTCTATGTTTGGTATCCATAATTTGAGGACTATTTTAATATTTAACTACCCTTGGATAACATGACCGTAGGGGCTGGGACGGTAGGGAAGTCGTAGCCTTAAAGGAGATTTGTTTTCTGCGAAATCTGAAATACCTTCTATTTGGAGAATATGCAATCCACAAATGTGCGGACCCCTGGTGCCAGCCAGAACCCCCTTCCCTTGAGCGCTAATCTGACACTGGTGAAAGTATCAGATCGCGTATCTTGGTTTGCGACTTCCCGTCATATTCGATTTTTTAAATGGAAAATTCCTTAACGTCAATTTTAGAAAACGTTTGTCATCCATCGCCTCTGTGCAAAGAAACCTCTTTGATAACATCAAGTAATAATATCGATTTGTCCTCCTTCAAAAAAATAGGTAAAATGTGAGTGAAGATTTTTAACACCGTCGCAAACGAGAGAAGTAGAAATATGCTCATGTAAAACCACCTTCAAAATAATCAAAATACCTAATACAAGAAATTAAAATTAAAGGAAAAACTCCTACCGCCAAACCAGCAGAAATAACCAATCCGTGCATATTCTTCCGGTTTTCTGATTTAGGCTGATCGTTTCGCACCACTAAGCCAGACGCTTCGTTCCACCAACCGAAAATAGTGGCATTGAGTGGCCAAGAAGGGTCGAACTTGAAAACATCATGGATCAAGGAAGTTCCGTTATTGGCTAGAATTAGCTTTACGTCACTCTCAAAAGTTAAGTTCAGACCAAAACGGCCGATTTCATCGACCAGATCATCACCGAGACTCCAAATGAGCCATTTGTATGTTGAGCTTCTGAAAAGGTTTGCGGGAATCTGAAATCAAGATTAGAGGTATAACGCCATTTCTGTCCTAATTTGGCTATGTCAAACTAAATAAAATTCCCACTTGACTTAAAAAACTCGAACTTTTTTACTTATTTCTTTATGCATGCGTAGTTTATATGGGCTCACCGCACCCTTCCCTCTTTATCGGTGGTTGCTGGTTGATTTATCACTCCTGGCAAGAAATTTGTTGTAGATAGCGTTTTAACACCTCTCTCTTGCACACTAAGTTAATGAGCAACGTCTGTTATGAAAGTTCCTGATGTAAATCATTGATACATATCTTCATACAATTGATACAGCATACTTCTCAGTATAATGCAGCTACATGTTACGAATGAATTCCTAGCATTAAAAAATACTGTGCGTTATTGATTCTCAAATACTTCAGACCGTGTAACAACGCAATCCGGTGGCGGATATCGTCCAATATCACTTGAAATCACCTTAAACACGTCGTTCTTTCTCTATGTCTTACTGATTCTCAAAGGAAATAAATTTACAATCGGTAGTTTGAGATGCATCTTACGTGTTGAAGAAGTCGTTGATTTTGCTCACAGTCGAAATTGACGATAAACCCATGCCAATTCCGTGAATTTTCCTCCGCTTGCATCAGTTCAAGATTGCGGTGCGGTGAAATGACAGACATCGCAGAAAAATCCTCGTTCGTAGAAACGTATTTTAGCCATTCCTTCGATTCTGCGAAACAATACGTGTACCTATTGCGCACTGACAAGGGTAAACTGGATGCAGTTATATGTATGGAACGGGTTCTGATATTTTGTTTACTGGCAATTTCTTGATAATAATGGACAACTAGACAAGGTACAAATTTAAGCACTTTGATACATGTTTTTAACTAAAATTTCATGTAGAACACTATTCTTGCATCAAACTTTACTCAAATCAACTCCTAACTATGATATTAACGTTTTAATTTTACATTGGTTACAGGGAATTTGAATCGTCCGGTCACGAGAAACTCAATACGGCAGGCTTTTCAATTGAGATCTGTTCCTTTCCCAACCTTTATCGTTCAAAGTGTAAACAATTTGCTATAGCTGAGCCAAAGCGTCATGATTGAGGCTACTATTATATATTTTCGCATTGCAGAGACTACCACGGTAACGTTTAGCGTGCGATTGGACTCACGCAGACCATTGAGTTTTCATGAGGGGAAGGTTTGAATTCACGCGTCAAGAAACATTAAATATCATGCTTAGGAGTTAATTTCAGTAAATTTCGTGGACGAATTGTGTTCTACATGAAATTTTGGTTAAGAAACATGTATCAGAATGCTTAATTTTGTACCTCGTCTAGTGGCCCATTATGACATTTTGAATTTCTTGTCGTGTTATAATTGGCTTATCCTTACAGAAATGTTAGCGATTTGTAGTGAATGAAGAAGGTAAGCAACATTTGTCTAACCTCAAGAAAAGTGGCCTCAGGTCAAATTGAAAACTACTGCATTTGGTTTTATGACTCGTAAACAATTTGAAACTCAAGATGGAGGTCGATACTTGAATTTCTAGTCAAATGATTTGCAATGTTCACTTCCAGACAAATGTTGCGAGGAGCAAGCCATGTTATCCTACTTTTTCAAAAAGTCACTTCCCGGACAGCAACGGCGACTTGGTCCAATCGTTGTATTTTAGTCCCTACGTAAAATTATGTTAAAAATATCGAAGTGAGAATATTGAGATAGAGGGAGGTGTTGATATGGTGCTTCATTTTTTAAATGAAATGTTACTTTCTTCTTTTGATTCATATTTTCAATTTGTCATTGGTGAATATTTTGTTTAATTTCTATCATGATCATTTCAAAATCATGAGTTGACAAACAATGCCTCCTCGAGTTTAAATATTAGAGCAAAACACAGAACGGAACGACGCGACGTGCTACCATCCATGCCAGCGCAAGGTTTACGGACAGTAGGTCTAAAGGAAAAAGGGCTACAAAAAAAAGGCAACCTTTTTTGGTCTACAGTCAAAATGTCTACATGAAAATACCTATTAAAATAGTGTCTATAGAAAAATATGTTTGCGGTATTAAAATGTCTTTGGTTTGACTGCCTACTCCAAAAATGTCAAAGTACGTATTTATGTCGTCTGATAAGAATTTCATTTGAAAGTGTATCCCCAAAGACAGGACGAGGCTGTGGATGCTGCAGAAGCTGATGCGTAAAAATTGTGAGTCACATTTTGCGAATAATTGACCTTCTAAATATCATGTGTATTTTATATATATTTTATTTTTTTTTATTATTTTATAAATATATTTTATATATTTTTAGTGGCCAACATAAATATTTTGACATTTTCTAAGTGGGTAAACAAACCGTAGACATTTTAATAGCGTAGACATATTTATCTGTAGACATAATTTCAGTAGGCATTTTAATGTAGACGTTTTGACTGTAGACTAAAAAAGGTAGCCCTTTTTTTTTGTAGCCCTTTTTTCTGTAGACGTACTGTCTGCATACCCAGCGCAAAACGCACACTGGCACCTACAAACCTAAGGGGATACTTCACGCATTGCGCAATGCTTGAAGTATCCCCTTGGGTTTGTAGGCGCCAATGCGCTGGCCGGCCACCCACCGCGCCGCAGCGTGCAACGGCGCGGCGCCTCATGCCACTGATCACAAGGGAAGTGTTGCATAATATCATAGGAAATTGAAGGCGGTCCCACATATTAAGAATGACAGGCATTGAGAGACAGGTATGAGACAACATACACAACACAACACTCCGATACAATAATAGCGATAATTTCAGAATGTATTTTCTTTATTGTAATCTGTGCTACTTGGGATACCTCTATGCTCCGTAGCCCCTCTGACGTAACGCCCTTACGCCAGAGAATCGACGATACATCGCCTGCTTCAATCGAGGTAAATGATCGCGGGTGGCTTTTTCACTATGTTAATTTTGAGATAATTTTTTTTTAAAGCCCCCTGCGTCTCTATCCTTTCTTTATTTTTTCTGAAATTTGTTTTGAATTTATTTCCAAAATAAGTCATTTATGGGTCGTTCGACGATAACTGGAATTGTTTTGTCGCCGTAACAGACAACACATTTTTCGGTTATATTTTTTAGTAGAAGTGATAATCACTCGAATTTTTTCGTATTAATCTTCAAAGGGTTACGTATTATAACTGATGACTTCTAATGATTTATTGCTCTCCTTCTCAATTAATAGTATGTAAATTCCGAAAATAAGCTGTCTGTTACGCGGTAAAAAGTCAGCGTAACAGACAGCACATTTTCGGTCATTTATAAATTAAAATTGAAAAGGAGAGCGATAAATCTTTGGAAGGCGTTATAATACGTAACCCTATATAGATTAATCCAAAAAAATCGAGTGATTACCATTACTACTGAAAATATGACCTAAAAATGTGTTGTCTGTTACGGCGACACAACTATTCCAGTTATCGTGAAACCATCCGTATACTTTCCGTTTATCAGAGGCATTGGAAAAGTAGGTACTTTACCATACTCGAGGCAGGAGAATATGCTCACGTGGTGAGTGTTGCTTTGTCGGAGCACATCAGTCAAGAGCGTAATTGGCCAACTAATCACATTCACAAAAAAATCCAAAAGTAAGACGGTGGAGAATGGACGGAGATTCATTCTAGGAAACGTTCGAACAGGCTGCACCCCGGAGAAACGTCTCGACACCGGTTCAAAAGAAGACCTCTGCACTAGTGTCCATGTCTTAGTTTTCCCTGTATGGGTATGCAACCCTCAATGCAAACATTATGGTTAGCGGGTGCCAAAAGCAGCTTCTACCTGAAGTGGTGACGTTTTTCACCCTTTTTGTTCGCAGAGGCGACATTATTAAACTTTTCTTGCGATTAACCGTAATTAGCAATCAAGGTCCAGTAATTCATGATCACTCTATTGGATGTCATCGATGTAGGATTTGAGTTACTTAAAATTTTTCAAGCCTCCTACTTTACCTACTCTCTTGAACTCACTAATTTATTCTGTTGTACTGAAGAAAAACGCCGCGCCAGCATTCAAAAGATGCCAAATCTCCTTAGAAAAGTTGTAAATATTTGTTTTCAAAATGTACGCCTACAGTACCTACGCGGACTAATATAAACTGCACCAAGGATAAGGTTCTCCGTAAAAATTTTAGGAGGAAAGTTCCCGTGTTTTCCAAAAACAATTTTTCTACTCGTTTCATCGAATTTACTTTATTATGCTTTGATGCTCGAATAGGTAGGTACTTAGTTTCATTTGCGGCTAAGTTTGAAAAATTGGTGCCCTCTGTCATGTTTGACAACCGAGACTTGCATGGAACGGAGCAGGTTTCATGGTAGGTAAATATTTGCTGTTCATTTGCAGTATGAGGGAGAAGCAAATATTGATTGTTTGCAGAGTCATTCTTTCAAACTGCTATACGAGAGGGAACGATATGGCATAGAAAAGGAATTAGCTTTACGAATATGCCTGGAAAACAGAGATGCATGTCTTGGACACGTACAAAAAAAAAAAAAAAAAAAAAAAAAAATTAAATAGAGCATCTCAGGAATCGATTTCTTTACGTCGTCAAAACCTTCCATTTTCGTTCCTTAGTTTTTCTTGGACATTTGTAACTAGACGCATGATTGTAATGGTTTTTGAAGTGAAGTCTTTATTATTATTTGTATGTTTTTGAGGGTAAGAAATATTTTTTTTTTAAAGAACAATTTCACTTGTTTGGTAACTTTCTGTCACTTTCTAACCCCCTCCCCTTTATCTGTCATATGTAACTCCCCTAAGAGAAAGTCGGGTAAATTTGACCCGGCTTGGGATTTCTAGGGGTAGTCGTCACAAACAAATTCCCTGACACGACATAACTCTCGCCAAAATACCAATTTCTTGACGTGCACCCTTCAGAGCGCTTGTAAGACCTTTAAAAATGTTTTTAATCTTTTCTTTCTCTTTCAAAATATTCGTTGATTTGGACACATCAAATCATATTTCGAGCGGACTGAACCTTCACTTTTCTCAAATTCCAAAGATAAGAGGCACTTCGGGTTGACAGCGTAAAGATACAACTATTCGTGCTTGATGGATGTCCATGTTGCATTAAAAAAAATTGAAGGCGCGATGACGTGAGGCGTGGACCCGCAATACACGGCTCTATGTTGTAAGTTCGGGTTCGGGAGAAAAACTAAAATTCAAGGCCCGATTTACGTCTTTCTATATCTTTGGTTGTGTTGCTCACGTAGCCCTTGAAACGACCACTTCAAATTAGACAAACAAAACAAACTTCCCAAGTAACATGGGGCTCTATTTTCTATCCAGCACTAATTTAAAATTTGTCTATATTCTAGACAGAAAAATAAAATAGAGAGAAAATGGAAAGAAAATAGATGTATCAAATAGAAGTAGGAAAATTATTAAAAACCTATATTTTCTGTCTATGTTCTGGACACTAAATACAAGGAAAACAGACAATTTTGCTGTCTACATTTTGTGTTTTTTCTATCTATTTCCTGAATTTTAAATTTCTAAGAAATAGATAGAGAAAAAATCAAATTTTTCTCTATATTCCATCAAGTTTTTGAATATTTTTTCCTACGAAAACAGCCCTATCACTTTTCTAGACGGAAAATAGATCCATTTTGTAGACAGGATACAGACCTATTTTCTTCGGTAAATAGTGACACTCACTTTCCATTTTCTGTATAAATGCATAATGCTAGCTAC